TGAATTCCAAAACGTAGAAAAGCCACAGCAAACCAATCTCATATCTTGAGTCACAGTATCGCGAAAGAAAGTTTTTTCTAGTCAGAATCAGTCTTGCACATTTACTAATATACTATTCATACATGCATAGATATTGTTACCATATCTGGTCTAGGGATCCAGCTATTCATCGCGAGATTCTTGACAAAATCCTAAGAAGGATCCTGACTTGGTATCTCAACTTCAGTTATTTTCTGAGTGACGTGACGTTGCCTTCCTCTGTCTTAACGAGCTTTTTTCCCGGTGATTCAACTAAATGAATTTAAGCGTACTACTAGATTGGCAATTAGTTCCCACCCGTTTACTATTGAAATAAGGAAATGCAACCAACTTTTTCTGTTACAACAGTTTCTTTTCTCGCATTTCACATCTGTGGAACTTCTTTGCATTTAGTTTATTCCCAGATAACGACACTCTTCAAACTTTAAATCGACATCTTCTATCGTCTTGAATCCCATCCACCTTGTGTCCTTCCATAAATCATCCCTATACTCTTTTTTTTTTCTTTCACTTTCAGTCCCTGTAATCTCCCTGCGTACTAGTGACATTCTTGCTTTGGGTAAAATGTTTAAAAAAAATTCAAAAGAATGCTTGATTATAAACAATGTATAAAGAAAAGGAAATTTTGGAGAATCATGAACGCCTACATGTCAAAAGGACTTAGCTTAATAAAAGACAATTGTCAAAGGAGAATCAGAGCATAAATTGTTCAACTACTGGATAATTGCAAGAACACTAACCGATATTTCAAATGAAAAAAAAAAAAAACAAAAAAAAACTAACCGATATTTTAAATGAAAAAAACAACAACAAAAAAACTAACTGATATTTCAAATAAAACACTTTTTGCTTCTATTTTCAAGAAATTTTTCATTAAGACTTCACGCTTCGTCTCTCTATTACATGGAGTAGATTTTTTTCAAGAATTTCTCATTTTTTTAAAATTTATTCTTTTCTAGGAAAGTATTGAGAAAATTTGAGAACTGCAAATAATTCCTGCCGATGTTTAAAAGTCCCCCACGAGGAAAGTATGTGGCACAAGGTCAAGTTTAATGTGGATTTCTCCTTGAGCCCGTAGGCTTGGCCGAAAATATTCCCTTAGAACCCGCATAAGCGGATTCGGGATCTGCCTACCTCCCCGGAAGGAACTTTGCCCTTAGGCAAAGCTTTGTCCGGGTTTATCTCTGCCAAAGCAAAGAGTTCTACAGAAGTCGCACGCAGTCAGAAACTGCGGGTCGACTGCCTCTGCAAATAATTCCTGCCGAATACAGAGAATTGTAAAGAAATTTATATAACAACGGATCGAAAGAAGAAATCGTAGAGCCGAGTTCGAAATCCTGTCGATTTCGCTGCATTCACGTACAGATACCTGAGTAATTTTTATATCCTTCTCGTCTCCATACCAGCAATAGCACGATAGCCTTGCCACCTATCTGTCTTTGACAATAAATCTAGAAGAAGAATGGCTCGTAATTCATAGCTCAACCGCTTAAATCTGTGTTAGAATGATTTTGACAAAGCTACCATATTTTGAAATAAAAATGCCAAAGATTTAACAGCTACGGTTAATCACAACTAGATAAAGATTTTGCAGGATATTTCAGACATCAATAGCAAAATAAGTTTAAGAATGGTGTCAGTATTATTAAAGGGTCAGTAAGTTATATGCCATGCGTGATATACGCTTAGGCGATCATGACTGACAAGGCAGATTTTTCCCCGCTGTAGGTTGCCATTTCTTTCTGCGGTAGACCATCTGCCATCCAAGGATAATAGAACACGGTTTGCTCTGATCATAAAGCTGTGTGGAGGGAAGAGAACGTGCTAATGTCCTTTACCAAGGACATTAGCACGTAAGGGAATTTAATGGAATTCGAACTCTGCTCTCCGATTCCGGAAAACGTACCGTGCCACTCCAAATAAAGTACTATTTTTAAATCACATTTATTGTCAGAATCATTACAGGGATCAACTTGAGTTTGTTGTTTGCAATAGATCCTTTTTGTTCACATAAAACTATATAAAGGAAATTAAGTTTATTGCAAGAATATATGCTTTAATTAGTTCCATATCAACAATATGGCGAAAGTGAAAGAGATGTCTGTGAATTGAAATCTACAATTTTAGAAACATTGATCCTAACCCATAGCTGGTGGATCCATACCTTCCCCAAGGGTATTAGCACGTAAGTAAATGTAATGGATTACGACTGGAATTCGAACTCGTCTCTCGGATTCATCAAATCCGAGCCGCTATCCATTACTCCATCGTGCCTACAGTTTATGGGAAATTACAGAATTCTGTACAATTGCTATTTGCTAAATGTTACTTTGCATTACTCAAGTGCTAGATTAGATACCTTTCTGTGACAGACGTTCCAAAGAGATGAGAATTCCGAATCAAATTATTTAATAACGGCTGCCCAATGACAGTTTGTGTATTTTCAATAGAAATCAACTGAAAATAATTTTAAAGAAATACGAGTGAAAAATTGAAACGAAACTTTAACAAAAAATCATAGATTATATGAACACGACTGAATAGTAAACATCACGTGTCATATTCGGAATATTTCCTTGTTTGCAAAAAGGAGGCGAAATCGATAGCATTGCAAATTAACTGCTATGCAGTATGCTCTACAGATGACGTCGACAAATAACATGTAAACAGAGAGAAGAAGAAAAGAAGAAGAGAAATTAAAAAGTATTGAACATTCTCTGCTGTTGATTTAAATGGGAATTTTTAAAAAAGGCCCAACAAAAAATTGCAATAGTCATTAAAAATAGTTTTATCATTTAAATGATAACGTATTATAAAACAATGAACATCATAAAAAGCAAAAAGAATATAAAGATTGGAATTGAAACGAAAAAATATCTCGATCAAAATGTAAAAAAAAAAAATACACAATGGCATCTGAAAAGAGTGAAGGAAATATCATTTCATCCGGAAATAAATGCATAAAACTCCAATCCAGATACATCATCGATTAATGGTCAACCTAGACTCCAGAATCTCACGGAACTATATATTTTGTCGATTCAGTAGAAGTCACATAACAAAAATTTAACAGGAACCGACTAATTATTCATTTCTCATCTTCCTAGAGCATTATCGACTGTCATACACTTACATTAAGCTGTTAATAAATGCACCGCCACCTCTGGTCTCAAAGTGAATTCGTCAAAAATCGCGTTAAATTTAAGGTGTTTGATAATAATTTATCCGTTATGAAAATAAACATGGAATACAATTTGCCAGAATATAAGTGATATATTCGTACAACAAAATCAGACAACATTAACAAACAAGTACAGACGCTCACACAGAATATTACTCGTTGTCTAATACAATAGAGATATTAGTCAGTAAACGATCGTATAATTGAATGCAAATCCAAAGAAGGACCTGTAATATAATCGATTCTGAACTGACATCTCGACTTCAATCAATTTCTCACCGATGTGACGTGGCTACCCTCTGTCTTTTCTACAAATATTTGCTGCTTTTAAGATTTTTTCTCCTGTGTTCCGACTACATGAATTTAAGCGTGTTACTAGATTGGTATATAATATCAGACGTTTAATGGTGAAACAGCTAGCAGCAATCGCCACTACCACTTCAACAGTTTAATTTGTCGCATTTTCAAGCTTTGGAATTCCTTTCCGTTTACTTACTTCCCTGATAACTACAATCTTCAAAAACTGAAATGCAACATCTTCTATCTTCTTGAATCCCGTACACCTTTTGTCCTTTCTTCAATCCTGATTATACGCAGTCATTTCTATCATTTTCTCTCTCTGTAAAACCCTGTGTACTAGTGATATTCTCATCTACTTTGCGGTGAAATGATTTTTCATATATATATATATATATATATATATATATATATATATATATATATATATATATATATATATATGCTCAATTTTCCTCTGAATATCTGTGAAGAGAGTTTATTATTATTTACACTATTATTTTTGGGTATATTTATTTATACATATTTATTTATATGTGGACTTTTATCACAATATTTGTTGTTTTTGTCACAAAATATCGGCATCCAGTGTTTATCAGATCAGTGTCGATCAGATTAAACTACAGGGAATTCCGAACAGAACACTTTATTCAATATACGTAAGTAGAATTTTCTTATTCTGCTGCCCATCTCTAGGATACGTCTTCTAGTTCTCACTGTCCTACAGAAAATAGCCTAATGGATTAAAGTTGTGGTTCGTGAATTTAGTTGCATAGTGATTGTGAGTTAAATCCTTTGGCAGAACAAAGCGTAATTTGGATTTTGTAGAAACGGGGTGAACATTTCTAAAGACCAAGATGATATGTCCCTAAACCTGAACAGTGGAAAGAGAACAGTCTGCACTCGTAGATTAAAGAAAGTGTTCAATTTGAAATACACTCTAGGTTATCCGAATATTTCTGATAAAGGTTGGAAGTCAGAAAGGCTGAATATTTGTGATAATAACGACAAAGACGAGGATAATGGTCTGCATGTAAATAGTGTAAATACATATGATAAAAAAAAGAAAATAACTGCAAGTATAACAGATTAGGATCTGTAATTCATTAGTAACTTTTCAATGGACGTGTTTACCTTCATAAATTAATTACATTAAGCCAAAGTAAAAGGCAAAGTGAACTAATATTAGAATGTAATATACACACTGTTCAAGAAATCTTTATTTTCTCACAGAGGTTTTATGACAGGTTGAAGATAAAAGAAACTGGGTAATATATTAAGGTTTGATTCTATGTGAGAAAAAAATGGTAGTTCCTGAAGACAAAGGAACGCGTACACTTACAATAATTCCTTCAAACGGTCATGTTTATGCGTGGTAAGTTTAGTGTTCTGTAAACTACTTCAACAAGGATTCCGAGGAAGCTTTTGAAAATTAGAGAGCTATAAGGTCTTCGCAATATCCACCCGATACTTGTGAATAACTTTAAAAAGTGAAACAAAAACGGAAAAAAAAAGAATAAGAATAAAGAAAGAAGAAAAAGGAAAAAGAGAAATAAATGAAGAAAAAAGAGAAGAAAAGAAGAAAAAGTGAAGAGAAAAATGAAGAACAAAAAGAGAAGAAGAAGAAAAAAGAAAGGTCGAAAAAGAGACGAAAAAGATTATTTTTTTCTCTCTTTTTTTTTGCACGTTCTCTTTTCGATTCTTTAAAGCTAAAGCGATAAATTAGAAAAAATCCAGTTCAATCTTTAAGAAGTTTGGTAAGTGAGGGAGGAGTTTCAGCTATGACAGACCAAAGAGCAATGAAAAAAACCTTGAAAATGAAATCGTACATGAAAAAGAAAGAAGAAGAGAAGCAAACAGAAAGACGAAGAAAAAACCAAAAGAAAATGAGAAAAAAGTGAAGAAAAATACGAGGAAAAGAAGAAGATAAAATGAAAAAAAGAAGAAAAGTTAAGAAAAAGAAAGAAAATAGAAGGAAGAAATAGAAAAGGAGTAGAAAGAAAAGAAGAAAAAAGAAAAGAAGACAAAAAAGAAAAAAAAAGCAGAAAAAGAGAAGAATAAAAGACACGAATAAAAAGAAAATCATGAAGAAGAAGAACAAGAAAATATTGCCTAAAGTTGTTTAGCTGAATTCGTCATAGGACTGTAATAAGAATGAAGTATGAATGAATATGACGAAGTTGCGAGAGTGCTGAAGAAACCATGGAAAATGAGAATGAATTCGTATCTTAAATCATTTAAGTACAAGAAGCTACTCCGCGATCTTCCATAAATATTGTCCGAGCTTAGCGAATGGATTGGATAAACCAGAAGGTCTCACTTTGTTTAAATACGTTTTATATGCGAGCGGTAATAACGATGCAGTGTGTAAGTAATTAATCTATGTTACTATTGAAACTAAACCATAAATATAGAAATTAGCAAGTATCAAGACGACAGATTCGTGGATATATAAGAAATAATCTAATAACGATTTAAGCTGAATGATCAAGAAAAACTTTTAGATGAGATCTAAAGTCATGTCATAAGTAGATCGAGTACTTTTTGCTATGTACGTTTGCAGGGTATAGAAAATAAAATCTCTATCCTATGATTTACGAAAAAAGATGAAAGGAAACATTAACTGATTGATTAAATAATTTGTTTTATTTAACGAATTATCAACATTTTTCAGGTTATTTAAAGCCCCATAATATTTTGCATTGCTAGAATTCATTGGGGGGGGAGGTAAAATTGTTTAACGATAAAAGTCTTACTAATTACCCTATAATAGAATAAAATTTAGATTTATACGTATGAAAAAATAAATAGAATTAATGTATTCTACAAATCACTATGTAGTAAAAAATAAGAGCTAATTTACATTATTTGCATTTTTCAAACTGTTGTCGTGATCATTGTTCATATTCACGGAATTTTCAGTCACTGGAACAAATTAACGCCTTTATCGTCTAGTCCATGCCACTTCTAACTAGAACAATCTAACCTTAGAACAATTATTTACTAATTAACCCATAAATCGGGAAATCATTGAATTCATACCTATGGAAGGAAATAAATAGAATTAGGGGATTTTACAAATCGATATGTAATAAAAGAAAGTTAATTTATACTATTTACATTGTTTTGACTGTTTTTCCTATCATTGTTGTAATATTAAAAGCTTTTCGGTCCCTGCACGCTCCGGGTTTTGTCACTTGATTCCCCAAGCGCACACGGCCAAATGTATAAAATGTATGTAATCCAGTGACTTGACACAAAAAGTCGTGAATCCAGTACCTTGGCGAATTAAATTGCTAAAAAGGGAAATAACTGAAACTGAGATATCTGGAAGAGGCATGTCACATGAAACTAGAACAATCTACCCCGCTGAACGAAAAAAAGGGTTCAGTTCGAGATTCCAATCACCCGAAAAACGGCCAGAGACTACAACGGTCGAAACGTCGTGTATATAAAAACAAAGATCAAGACAGAAACAGAGACAGATAAAAAAGCTAATTGATAAGAGAAAAAAAAATGGAGATTCAGAAAATGAATTTAAAGTGAAAATAGATAAATAAAAAAGAAATTAAATAATAGAAGTTAGAATGAAGAAAGTAATTTCTCTTATTGCCACTTTTGTGCAAGCCGAAAGAAGTATCGAAAAGAAAACATACAGAAATATGAAAAAAATAGGATATGACGATAAAGTACATCTGGCAGCAAGTTCTGTGATTGGTAGATTGGAGATTTTGAGGAGCATGTAACAACCTCTTAATTGTTGTTCCCAGGTCCACCCTAACACGGGGCCGTAGCATCCGTTGTTGTCTCAGCTCTGGGTAAAAAAGTGAACTCCAAACATTATAAAAACATAAAAATATATATAGTAAATATGACAGCAATACATTATTATATTAAAAATAACGAACAATACATATTTATATTAATATTACGAACAATACATTTTTAAAGCAGAATCAACAACAAGCAAAATAGCCAACAATACATTTTATCTGTAGCTGAAGCCACAAAACTATGTTCAATTATTTATTTTTTGGCATTAAATAACCCATATATATATCGATATGCCGCTAAACAAAATCAACCAATATCAACCAGAAATATATACCCCTTGTAATATCAAAAGTCATTAAATCGGGAAAAAGCAAAATTGTCCATTTTTTAGATTAAGATTTTAAACGTAGTATTTTAGAAATGATTAAAGCTATTTTGCTGGAATTCTCCGAGGTCTTTAGAACACAATTGGACTCTACTTTGAGCAAGAAAATTGTATAATTTATCCCAAAGCTTAAGAGAAGAATCGAGATAAAATCAATCATAAACGAAAATGTCATGTTCATCATTAATTAATCATAGCTAAAAATCGGAAGCTCATGAAAGACTGAAATAAAAGTAAAATATATATATATATATATATATATATATATATATATATATATATATATATATATATATATATATATATCATTCCAGGATCATTTTTTTATCAATCAAGATGATCTTCGTAACAAGGTAATTCACATTTTTCACGTACGATTTAATTTTCAAGATTTTTTTTCACTACTCTTTTGACTGTCATAGCTGAAACTCGTCTTTCACTTGTTAAACGTCTTATGGATTGAGTTGGATCTTTTGTAAGTTATCTCTTTAGCTTGAAGTTGAAATGATTATCCTTCTTCCTCTTGTGACCTTCTGATCCATTTACGTCTTACTGTTCCGTCTATTTTAAAATTATTGACTGTCCTCTTGATGGATCTTGAATTGACTTTGAAGATGGAAGCAAGAGTATAAATGTTGGTACCATTACTGTACACACGTATGATCTGTTCCCTCTCACCTTGGTTCATTTTGGAAGGCAGTGGGGCTGAAACAATACGATTTTGACCTGTTTCCCTTTCTCAAATGATTTGTCAGTGATTGTTACGATAAATGGTGTCAAGATGGCTAAATCTCGTATCTGAAATCCTGGAAAAGGGAAATATAATTAGCTCAGTACGTTTTTCTTTCTTTTCTTTTTGTATATTAAACATTTTGTTAGATGGATTATTACACGATTTGGACAATTATGCTGTTACACCCAGTTGTTGTTTATAAAGAAAGTCGTGTTATGTCCACAAATATGAGAAAAATAAAAAGTAAGTATAATGTAATCGATCCCAACCTAGCATCTCTACTTGATCTAATTCATCACTGCCGTGATGTAGCCTCATTCTGTCTATTCTATAAATAATTTCATGGCAATTATTTTGTTGCTTCTGTTGTTTCTTTCAATAATTTCCTCTCAAACAAGACAATGAAGCAACTACGACGTATGAGGTAACTGAGTGTTAGAGAACATAAGAAAAACTAGTATTTTTTTTTCAGCTTTTCACCCCAAACAAGGCGGGAAGCCACTAGAACGCAAGGGGTTACAGAAGATTTGGAGCAAGATCAGATAGGAGCGATAGAGGAAAGGATGAGGAGAAGGATAGTATTAACGAGAACAGACATTGAAAGAATAAGAATTAAGCGTACAGCACATAACGCCATACTGTTCTGATAAGTTTTCCTCTTTTGTACCGCTACTGCATAAATTTATATTTCCTACGAGATTTTACTGTTGAACTATCTAGATGGAAACGTATTTTCTGTTCTAATATTTTCTTTCTCGCAATTCTCGACTGCGAGACTCACTTCCGATTACTTGCTTTCCTAGTGTCTACAGTGTTCAAAAGGTTAAATGAATCGGAATATTCTCTTTTCCTCAACTCTGTTCTTTTATTCTCCGTTCGCCTTGTTTCTACTCGCTAAATTCTCATTCTCCTCCACTTCCAGTAACCCCTTACTTCTTAGTGGCATTATGACCTTGCTTGGGGTAAAATTATTAAAAATCAGAGAGAGCTAATTGATTGAAATTGCCCATTATGACCTCCAGAAGAAAACGGCCTCGAAGTATTTTCAACAAACAGATGTCTTCTGGCGCGAACAAAGCTATTATAGTTAAGGAAATGGTTTTGTTTTTTTCTCTCTTGGTATGTTCACCCATAAAAATAGAGAAAATGATTTCTCTCCGAAGTTACTTTGTCTCTACATATGATATTCCCCTCAAAGCTTCTATTCTTTACTAGAGTCATTATTGCAGAGTTTGTTTCCTACATTCCTCATTATCACAAGCATACAGACAAAGAATCTTGACGATATTCACTATTGACTTAGACAGAAATACACAAGTCATGGATTACACTATTGATTTGGAACCCTTGTCATGTCCCTGAAGGTTGAAAACTTTTTTGATTTTACTATCATCGCCACTCTTTAATTTGTCCTTTCTTTCATTTTATCACTGAAGAACATCATCTAAACAAACATAGAGAAAAAACAGCGTATGCTACAATGTTACAATTCACCATTAAGTGAAATGAAATCCAGGTCCATATAAAGACTAGAAATATATTACTTTCCCTTGACCTTCTTATCTTATTCTGTGTCTGAGAAAATTTCAACAGCCTTTTTCTAATTCTAAATAGAAGACTCGTTTTTTATTTAATTTATTTTTGTTTACATTTTCCTCCTTAATCCGATGTTCGGTCCATGTTATTCTTAGAATCTTTCTATAGGACCACATTTATGTTAAGCAAAGTCTTCTTTTCATCTGTTAGGAGATTGTTCAGCCTTCACTGGCAATATGAGGTGACCGTTATTACATAAATACACAGCAAATACACAAATAAATACACAGCACGCTTTACTTTGTTTCCAACGAAACTGTCCTATTTCACAATAATTTCCTCGTCTTTTGGAAGGCGTGTTTCGCTATCTCAACGTGCGTTGGGATTTTTGTTTCATTTTTTATCTTCTGTTGGTATATCCAAGTCGTATTGCCCATGCTACGCTGTTATGCTTACTGACAACAATAAATCATGTCTTCTAAAATTAACGTTTATTCCTGTTTTCTTACTTCAGTAGCTTCTGTTGATGTTACGGAGGTTTCGTTTGTGTATCTGCTGTCAGCTCTGAGTGATCTGAATATCATTTTTTGTTAAGAATTTGTCCCCCAATAACAAACGCTCGTACTACTTATATCTCCTTCAGGATGAAATCTTTGTA